TATCACAGAAGAACTGGGATGAAAGTTTATGTTTGGGCTATAACACTGATGTCTAGCATTCAAAACAGAGTTCATCATCTTTTGAAAAAGTAACTTGGCACTTTAAATAAAGATTGTATTATTGTATTATTACCTCAATGCACCAGTAGGTGGCGACATGTGACTGTAAAAAAAATGTATTCATCCTTGAATCATTCATTCAAGAGATTGGTTCAAAAACACTAATTCATTTAATAATGGAACAAGTGACTATTTTGAATAAGTAATTGAATCAGTCATTCAAACTGGAAAAAAGATCAATTCAAATTTTTTTTTTTTTTAATAGACTGCAGTAATCAACATTGTCAACGCTAATAGCAAATTAGCTATGTTATTTTGTTGTAGCGGTCTATTCAGAATCACTGGAGAATCATGAACAAAAAAAATCATGGAGCTCTATTATAGACTTAAGATTTCAATTTTCATGGCTGAGACAAAACTAAAGCCTATTGATATAAAAAAAAGGGGATGAGCCCTTTGATATATCCCACCGCAACTTCTGGTTCATATAATCGCTCAACACAAAACTTAATTCATCAGGTGATTTCACAGGGTCTTTAAAATATTTAATAATGGCATTCAAACATAGAAGTAGCATGCCAGTACAGTATGAGAATAAATTACACAGGACCAGGGACTATGTACAATACAAATTACAAAACCTTTACATAAAGGTGAAATATCAATATGATATAATAGTATATTTTCTACTGTAAACCTTATTACCATTTTAATAATGACTTACCGATACGTGCTAATTACTTTGGTGTTTTTTTTTCTACTTCAGAGACAGTTTCTTAAAGTAATTTCGTGCTGAACCTAGTCTCAGACCAAAAAAAATTTATTCAGATGAGAACTGCATGAGTGTGTGTGCACAAACGTTTTAGATAAACCAGAGTGTTCTGTTGCAAGCGTACAGCTGGAAGTATTCACAGTAGTCTTTTAAAATCATTTATCTAAGATCAAAATCCATTTTCCACAAAATTGCACAAGTAAACAAGTATGCTGCTGTCTTTAAAATTACATTTGATTTTCATATAGTTAAAAGATAAAATGTCAAAAATGTGATGAGGTTAACAAGATGTAAATATTAAAATGATAAATTGTAAGTCAAATTCAGTTTGGATACATTTTCAGAAGTATTCTTTTCATATAAAATGTCTCATATAATTAAGCAAAATCTTATAAGCATATTTTTTTTCCCCTTTTATTCCAGTCTGTAATAGTGCTGAATATCAGAGCGAAAACAGAATGAACTGCACACGGCTGTCTAAATCTGTTGAGATGAATCCAGTGTTGACGATAGCTTTGATGAGCTTTGTGTACTACGTGAAAAGAGCATTCCAAGTGTTGACATCGCAGGCCACTTCTTGAGGTCACAGTTCAGACTCTGAGCCTTCAAGGCAGTTTCACGACCACCACACATGCCCCCGCCCTCCCAATGTTTAGAGGGACCTCCTAGAATAACAAGAGACAGAGGTTAATGACCATTGTCCAACTGCAGCAAATTCCCTCCTCCGCAGCTCTCTCAGTCACACTCAGTCTAACAGCCCATTGCAGGTAATCTTACGAGAGAGAGAGAGCAAGACGGAGCCATGGGAAGCTGAGACAGGAGGCAAACTAGACTTGAACAGAGTGTTTGTAACTCAGGCTGGCTAAGGAAAGAGCGGTTAACCTCATGGTGTTCAATGCCATTGTGACACAGTGGAAAACAGATGAATGGCAGGAAATGCTTGCACTTCCCGTTCACAGACGTACATCATCCAAGCATTCAAGGAACATTCCCAAAGTCGACTGTTTTGACATATTTAATGTTCTACAACATTTTTTTCCTTCTTTGCAGACAACATGGTTGGTCAAAAATGTGGATAGCTATAACATTTTTGTAGTATTTCAGTTTAACCTGAAAGCACTTGTGGCATAATGGTGATTAGCTTGAATAGTAATTTTGAATTGTCAAAATATCTGGGTTGCAGTAAGGTTAAGTGAACTTGCAGTACAATGCAAGTGAATGGGCCCCAGGTGCTTCCATTACAGATTTGCGCAAAACTTTGGCAATATTTTATAAATGTCGATAAAAAAAGTATTGCGAAATGACGGCGTTTCCATTAACCAATGGTATGCGACTAAAACCTAACCTTTTGCCTCTCGCGATAAGTCATGGTGGCAATTCATTTGTTGCTATGACAATGTAACATCAAAAACCTTAAATTGCACTTTACTACTTCTATTGACACGTGTGTATTATTTGAGCTGCATTGTAAGTGTTTTTTATAAAATTATAAGCTTCACACTTTAAAATCTTCCAAAAAACTGGTCCCATTTAGCTGTATTGTAACAGTAACCTCATTTCTTTATTTTTATTTTATTGCTTGATTGATTACAAATATATCTTTAAAGCAGTTGTTTTAAAACGGGGCCCACTAGGGGCATCAAGATTACTTCAAATCAGTGTCTGAATTGAGGGGACGCTGGGGGACTACCGTTAGCATTCCTGAACGAAATTTAGTTTAGAAAAAATCAGTTGAGCGCATGATTCAATTACCCATTCATAAAGTCATTAGTCACTTGCTTAATTTTCTTATTGAATCGGTCCTTTTCAAACCAGCTACTAGTGGTTTTAGTTTCATATTTAAAAAGATAATTCCTAATTTCATTTGTTGCTATGACAATGTAACATCAAAAACCTTAAATTGCACAAAAAAATTATCAGAGCAACTTTACTACTTCTATTGACACGTGTGTATTATTTGAGCTGCATTGTAAGTGTTTTTTATAAAATTATAAGCTTCACACTTTAAAATCTTCCAAAAAACTGGTCCCATTTAGCTGTATTGTAACAGTAACCTCATTTCTTTATTTTTTTTATTGATTGATTGATTACAAATATATCTTTAAAGCAGTTGTTTTAAAACGGGGCCCACTAGGGGCATCAAGAATCGGTCCTTTTCAAACCAGCTACTAGTGGTTTTAGTTTCATATTTAAAAAGATAATTCCTAATCATTTCATATTTCTGTTTTCAAAATGTTATATTTAACCATTAATCTCATTGTGTTATTTATGCAATTTTAATTGCAGTGTAAATACATTCTCACCAACTTATTTTTGAGCCACTTAAAATTTGTACAAATTATTTCTTAAAACAATTTTAAATAAGACCAAACCCAGTTTCTTATTTTAATTCACCCCATGAACAGTTTTATCAATCTTTATAATTTCTTAAAAAATCTGGATATATGAGGAAGCCAAATTTTAAAAGTCTGATTTCTAGAATGGAATGGTAAATGAATCAAAACTCCATGGGCATTTCTATAATGAATATATTGAAGTCATGGCAAGCTCTAAAATATTTAATTAGGTAGAAATTGTGCATAGAAATATCGAAAAAATAATGATTGACACGTGTGTATTATTTGAGCTGCATTGTAAGTGTTTTTTATAAAATTATAAGCTTCACACTTTAAAATCTTCCAAAAAACTGGTCCCATTTAGCTGTATTGTAACAGTAACCTCATTTCTTTATTTTTATTTTATTGCTTGATTGATTACAAATATATCTTTAAAGCAGTTGTTTTAAAACGGGGCCCACTAGGGGCATCAAGATTACTTCAAATCAGTGTCTGAATTGAGGGGACGCTGGGGGACTACCGTTAGCATTCCTGAACGAAATTTAGTTTAGAAAAAATCAGTTGAGCGCATGATTCAATTACCCATTCATAAAGTCATTAGTCACTTGCTTAATTTTCTTATTGAATCGGTCCTTTTCAAACCAGCTACTAGTGGTTTTAGTTTCATATTTAAAAAGATAATTCCTAATCATTTCATATTTCTGTTTTCAAAATGTTATATTTAACCATTAATCTCATTGTGTTATTTATGCAATTTTAATTGCAGTGTAAATACATTCTCACCAACTTATTTTTGAGCCACTTAAAATTTGTACAAATTATTTCTTAAAACAATTTTAAATAAGACCAAACCCAGTTTCTTATTTTAATTCACCCCATGAACAGTTTTATCAATCTTTATAATTTCTTAAAAAATCTGGATGTATGAGGAAGCCAAATTTTAAAAGTCTGATTTCTAGAATGGAATGGTAAATGAATCAAAACTCCATGGGCATTTCTATAATGAATATATTGAAGTCATGGCAAGCTCTAAAGTATTTAATTAGGTAGAAATTGTGCATAGAAATATCTAAAAAATAATGAATTCTTATCCAGTTAATCACAAACAACTGGAAAATCCATGAGGTGTTTGAACAATGAAACCCAGTTTCTTATTTTAATTCACCCCATGAACAGTTTTATCAATCTTTATAATTTCTTTAAAAATCTGGATATATGAGGAAGCCAAATTTTAAAAGTCTGATTTCTAGAATGGAATGGTAAATGAATCAAAACTCCATGGGCATTTCTATAATGAATATATTGAAGTCATGGCAAGCTCTAAAATATTTAATTAGGTAGAAATTGTGCATAGAAATATCGAAAAAATAATGAATTCTTATCCAGTTAATCACAAACAACTGGAAAATCCATGAGGTGTTTGAACATTGTTGTCTTAAGACTGGAGTAATGATGCTGAAAATTCAGCTTTACATCACAGGAATAAATTACATTTTTAAAAAATATATATATTTAAATTGAACATTTATTTCAAATTGTAATATGAAATATTACTGTATTTTTGATCAATTAAATGCAGCCTTGGTGAGTTTTATATTTGAATTATTACAACCTTTAGGCTGTATTTCAGATCATCAGCAGCAGGGGGCATCTAACACCAGATTACTGAATTACTGAGGCTAACAGTTTCACATTGGAGTAAAGTGTGTCCAGATTTGCAAGTAAGCAATGAGAGTACTTGGCACCCATAACTATGTGCAAAGACTCACAGCCTGCTTGTTGTTATGATTAGGTTATTATTTCTTTCTTCCCAGATGCTGTGCCGTGGCAGCTTACCTCTCCACACAGTCAGAGAGACGTGAGCAATGGTTTGAAGCTGGTGCATCATGTCCTCCGACTGCATACAAGAAACTGTTATATGTGGCCACGCCCACTCCTCCCCTCCTCTTTGACATGGGTGCACACATACTCCATTTATTGGTGTGAGGATCAAAACATTCCATCGATCGCAGACACGAGCTTCCATCACGACCGCCAACAGCGAACAACCTGAAAATACATAAAGGTTTCACCTTTTCGCAACTTATTTAACTTCCATACTGTGATGTATATCAGAGTAAAACAGGATGGTCAAAGGATGTACTTTGTTGGAGCAATCTTAAAATATTTTTTAAAGCATGATTTTAGCTAAAGGAGCAAAAGGTTTTAGTACTTTTTTTTTGGTAATTTAAAATATGTTATGGAAGTGTATAGTAAAACAATAGTTTTGGAGATGAACAAAGCATGCAGGACCTTACTTGTGTATACACAAGTACATTATTATTTAGGCAGAAATATTTTGGCAGGTTGGCTGCTGAGAAAACTAGCTTTGGCCAGCCCTGAACGAGTTTACATTCAATTATAGAGCATTATTCCCCTCCTGCATCACCACAAGCACAAGTGTCAGAAATGAAGTTTATTTTTTAAGAGGTATTATTTATAAAGTGGCATGAAATAAAAATGCACCTTATTTATTTTCTTAATTTGTGGTATTGGTCTTATTCTGAACATTTTATCTGGGCATTTACTTTGGGATCTTTAAGCAAAATGTTGTAACTTGCTCTTCTGATATGTTTACTTGACGTCTATGACATATGCAAAGCCACGCTGCAGTTAAACAAATTGCATTGAGATCCTGTATGCACCGCTCACATTTCATAAGCCAGTCAACAATTTATAAATAAAATATCTGTTCTACTTTTCTTTCTTGATCGTTTTTCTGTTTCACTCAAATATATTTCACAATATGGTAGTAACGACTTCCATTTATAAAATATATACTAAAAAAAGCACAAAAAACAGTAACATGCGTTTAACAGAATACATATTTAGAAATTTCATTTAGACAGTTCATTTTTATTGATTATTTTTGTATTATTTGAGTTTAAAACTACTCATTACCTGAAAAGAAAATTATATAGCTAAAATTAATTATTTGTGGAAAAACTCTGGGTTTGCGGACTCCTGGAGGTCCAAGAAATACTGCAGAAATATATATATATATATAAAATATCTTTAAAATATTCAAAATGTGTTTCTAAAGATTGTGGTCAAAAGAAATAACTTCTATTATCTGATTGATTTTTATAAGGCATGAAAACACCATTAAACGAAAATAGGCCTGGGTGATATGGGCAAAAAAAAATAGCATGATAAACTTTTTCATTTCAGACAAATTTGATAATTATCACGATAAAGTTATATCGTTCAAACTTTATCATTCAGTGCAGGCTGCAATATTAATGTCACATTTTTGTCTCTTAGAAATGCACATTTGACAGTAGCTTTGAGTTGACAGTAGTAGTAGCTTGAGTTAAGATGCACATGTAAATTTATGTTCATTATCGAAAACAGTAACATATGTAAAAAATTGTAACAACCTCATTTTTTTATGTTGAAATTTAAATATTCCGACTTTTTTTTTTTTTTCAATTAACCATTGGTTTTCAATAGTAGCCTACATTTAGATCATGATAACCAGTTAAAACCACACATGCAGAACCTCAATACCATGGTAAAAATGTAACTACAATATATGGTTTCTATAGTATTTGTATGTAAAACAGTAGTCTAAATGCATTTAGTATTTAAATGCACAAACGCTATAGTTTAATCGTAAAAATACTAATTATGTTCCATAACTCCTTTAATGTCTACATTAATAATAATATAAAATTCAATATGAATATCCCACATTTCTGCCACAATACCATGGTGTAGTTATTGTTACTACAGTTAATTCTACAGCTTTCTGAGCTTTTCTATATCGAACATTTATCATTTTATCAATGAAAATATCGCTATAATTATGGTTATCGATTTATCGCCCAGACATAAACGAAAATAAATCTCTCTGTTGGACAATACACTGATGTGAAGACACTTGGACATGGCCAAGGATAAAAATGTAGTTCATTGAGAAACTAGGTTTAGCATAACACAATAATGTTAATCAATAGAATTTGAAAGAATTTCAAGCATTTTTATATTATGGGGTCCTCAGAGGGTCTCTGGGTCAGAAGAGGCTGAGAGACCCTGTCCTACAGAACTTCAAAAAGATACCTATGATATGTCCTGGTGAAAAGACCGATCAATTAATCACTTGGAGAAGTAGGACACTGGACTCTAGAGGTAGCTTGAAGGGTTTGTTTTTGACCTGGTTACAGAAAAGCCCCATGAGTCATCAGTCAATGTTCAGCTAGATTCAAACCCAGCCTCCGTTTTCTTGGACAGAGCTAACAGCAGCTCGCCTGCCACTCAAGCGACTTTAATGTAAAAGACACCAGAGGGTCTTTGGTCTCAGAGCCTATTAACTCCCGTCTGGCTGTACAGGGTTACGCTGTATATTGGATCCAGTACCTAATTCAGACCTCATCATGAGGAGAATCCAAGGAGGAAAGCGATCAGCCACAGCACACTGCACATACTGCTACTGATAGAAAAGTATTTTTAGACTTTTAAAATTTCTTAAAAATGTATAGAAATTAAAAATCTCCACAATTTACAATATAACAGCAGTAATATAGCATAGTATCCCAATCTTAAGTCCCCCTGCAATCACTAATTGTATCCCTTAAATCAAATTTTTGATGATTGAAATGATATTGAAATGATTTTTTCATGCCTTACAATAGCTTTAATATAACTCTACACTCTCTCATTTAGTATACAGGAAATATGCAAATTAGTGCCCACCTCCACTCAATCACAGCTCAGACCTGCTCCACTTTCACTCAGTTAACTGTAGTAGTTAACACTACACAGCAGCCATGTGTGTGTGTGTATTATAACACGCAATCAATTTTTTAAATGGTTCAAATCAATGGAGAACATCTCGAGTCCTTGGCGCCTTTGAATTCAGCACTATATGTCTGAACCAGAAACTGATTCCGAAGAAGAGGAGGACAGGGTCGTCTACAAGCTGATGTATCAGAATGGTAATGTAGATATCGCTCTCTATAACGTCAGGCTCATAACTGTAAGTGATATCATTAGCGTTTGGCTTGACTATGTTACCAAACATGAAATGATAGAGATATGAAAAGCCCTATCCTGCAAGTTGATGGGACGTTTCAAAATGCATTATTGAGACTATTTGGTTCACTGCAGTTTTAAGGAGAAAATGCTCAGCAGGGGTGTTAACTGATGAATTTGAACATGGTTTGTATTTAATCATTAAAAACAAGATTTAAACAATGACATGTAAACAATGTTGAAAACTTTATTTTCACCACAGGTCTAGATTTTCAGTTATACTGTAAGGAACAGCATTTTTTTCTACACTCAATTATGATAGAGTGGAGGCAGGGACTAATTAGCATATTTATACTGTAGTTCTACGCATACTAAATGAGTTAAGGCTGTAGAGCGATTTCCAGCAGTTTACCGTCAAATTGCTCTGTTCCTCTTTTGTATGTCGTTTTGAATAAAAGCGAAATACATGTAAATGTTTTAAAATTCTATCGTAGCTCAACAATGCTACAAAATATAATAAGACAAAATTAATTCCTTACTTTCCATTGAGAGCAGTGACTCCGACGGTGCTGCGTGGTGTGGACATACTGGCCACATAATTCCACTGCCTCGCCTGGGGGTCCCACCTTTCTACTGTGTTCAAATAGCTCCATCCGTCATGACCTCCCACTGCATACATGGGCCCCTCTAGCACAGCAATTCCTTTTCCAACAAATAAAGCAAAAAGAAAGACTGGCCTCAGCCATTGGCGGTGCACGCCATACATCAGACAAACGCACAATTCAATAGCAAGTGTCCATCTTCGTCTCCGTGATGTAGTGAAATTGGCAAATGTCAAAATGTTAAATGGTAACATGATAAGCTTTTCCTTTTTAAGCAGATATCAGTAGCTAAAGACATTCTCCTGGTGCGACCCTAAGGACAGCAGCCCTAAGACGCTGTGGTAAGCATTAGGTATTCATGGTGCATCTCGCTGCTCCCTATACAGCAAGGGTCTCTCGTGTTTCTGTTATAAATCTCTGGCTGTCGCTTTTGGGGTCCTGATATATAAATCGTCTCTTGACCGACATTTTGGTTATGATATTGCAGTGCACTTTATAGGCAACCTTTGAGTGTCAGTTTTATAGGATTATTGTACAATGCAGTTTAAATTACCTGCCATATTTTTTATACACATTTTGATGTGCAGCCCAGATTGCCTTTGTTAATTTATACACACTTGCTTAGATGTTTGACCATCCGGTTATTTTTATTGTTATTTCCTGAAATTTTTTTTGTACCATTTCAAAACACCATGACATCTGCTGAAATAGTGTGCCTTGGCCAATTTGATATGCCCTCTAAACCAGTGTTTCCCAACCTTTTTTCAGTCGCGGCACCCTTTGGAAATTTTAACAAACTTGTGGCACCCTACAAAATTAATTTTGTCACAATATTTGAATTTCTATCTTCGATATGATAATTTGAAAAGTATAGATATTCGGTACAACAGGGAAGAACTGCAGAATATAATGTCATACAGATATTTGTAATATTATTTAAAACATTTGTCCATCAATGGTGGCAATCAGTAGGCTAATTTCTAATGAAGAGACGGTGCAGTAGCACG